ATATTTCAATGAAAATAAGTACGTGTGTACTTGTGTTTACAGAGACCTCTGGCACCTGTTGTACAATCTGTCAGCAACTAGAGGAGACAACTCCAGGGGTCTTGTGGTGTCCTGAGTGTGAAGTGGTCCTCTGTGACAAATGTGTGCAGATACACCGGGTGACCCCTACTTTATTGAACCATGACCTGTGTGACCTGTCATCTAGGTCAAAGGTCAAAGGGAGGATCAAGTGTACGGAACACAAGAGTGACCGTGTTGAGTTCCACTGTCGAGACTGTGGGAAGGCTGCCTGTCAGACATGTTGTTCATCTACCATAGAGCTTGTAAGACTGTCGTCATTGAGTCAATGAAGCCAGGGATGCGGTCGAAGAAAGTAGACATACGAAACGATAAACTCGAAATTAATTTTAAATTCACAGAGTCAGCTGTGCAAAATATTAGGTTGATCTGCCAGACAGCCATTAACAAGATTAAGCAGAAAGAATCACAACTTTTGGACGAACTGAATACCATATCACAGACATACTCTGGCCAACTCCAAGCTGATGTGAAGCTTGAAGAGATCGAGAAGCAGATGTACAGACAACATTGTGAGTTTATTGACCAGGCCTTGGTATCGGACTGTGAGATGGACCTGTATGACGCGTATCAGGTCTGGGAGTCTGGAGCTGTAGAGATGGAGGATGTCAGGGATACAGAGGCAGCAGACACCCGGAGAATAGATGACATCATCTTTACACCTGACACTGACAACGTCCTGAAGGTCCTAGATAACCTGCAGTTGGGGGAGATTGACGTCACATACCAGGATCAGGGTCTGTCATCTCCAGTGCTGATTGACACGATAGATGGAGGATATCGCTTGATGAAATGAGAACTCACTTAAGTTGCGTAACAATCATGACAGCTGGTGATATACAGACAAGTGTTGTCACTGACATGTCAAATCATTGCCTGAAATCTTTGTACACAAGAGCCAACCATCCATGCCATAGTAAGCTTCCCCTGGATAACTCTCCATATGGGATAACACAGTTGAAGCAGAAGCGGGTAATGGTTGCTGTACCTTCGTCCCGCCAGATTGTAACAGTAGAGGTGACCCCCGACCTGGTGCTGCTCTCAACCATCCTAACTAGCAATAGTTACTACAGTCTGGCTGTTCTAAACCTTTCATCTCTGGCAGCAGGTGGCGAGAATTGTGATGGCTACGGCAATGTTGAGATCATTGACAAGTCTGGACACGTGTTGAGGACAATCACTCCACACAATGATGACTCACTGTTTACCTACCCCGCCTACATGTGTGTCAACACCAAGGGCAACATACTCGTGTCTAACTGGAGGTAGACGTCAGAGGGGGATGTTGTGTGGAGACACGCGCCTACTGGGGACAGTGCACTTCGTAGCGCTTCTGGTATCACAGTTACCAGCACAGAGACGTCCTGCTTGTAGAAAGCAGTCACAAGGTGATACTGCTGACAGAGTCGGGGGAGTTTGTCAGAGATGTGCTTACGTCAGAAAATGATGATTTGAAAGACGGATGATAAATATGATGATTCTTCTTTCTATGCAAAGACACGGAGGTGAAATTGCATATAGTCTGGTAGAAAACGAAAACTGGAGGTTAAATCTAAAGCTGTGTTTCAGGTGATTTACTCCGAAAACATTTACAGAGAAAATAGATCCAGTCCATGAAAAGAACACTAAGGTTCAATGAATGTCTTCTCCAGAACCTATGGGCATCGCCTTGTCAGTTAATTGCAGACATGCAATATTCAAAAAGACCATTTGCTTTTTCAAAAAAAAGAGAAGAAAAGGTCCTTGATAGTCTAAATGGAAAAAAATAAACATTTGTGCTTTTTATTTAACGGCACCAAGGGCAAAATTCCAGCTGACAATCCAACTGAGGTCAAGTAGTGATAATTATTCGTTTTGTCGAGTTGGACTCGACGAAACGGTTACATTCATGACCCGAAGAAGACGATGGAATTTTGCTGGAATTTTCATTGTTCAAGCACGGACTGTGATCGTGTTGCACGTGCATTACAACTTTAACTGAGTAAAACGTATATATATATGGATAAAAGTAATAATATACGGATTTTCTATGGCATATAGCAAGAACTTAAGCTTCATCGTGTGTGTTCCATTTTAACTTTATGTTTGACATTATGTAGGAACCTAACAGTTGCAAACAGGAAAGCTGCAACATATAGTTTAGAACGCACACCTCGGGAGGTGATATCATGAACTCAAACGAGGAATCGTTTACTGGCATCATCAAATACTGTTCACTAAAGTTAGGGGCATATTAAACTGTTCCGGTAATTCTTTGCGTTACCCCAAAACAATTGCAAAACAGTATAACTAAAACATACTGGATAATTTACAAACGTAATCTATGACATTGAATATGCTCATCGTGGATTGATTTATGTCGGACACAACACAAACATGAAACATCCAGTAAGAAAAGGCCATGGAAAGAAATTATCACCATTTTATAACTAGAAATTAATTGCAGTCTGAAATTTAGAATGGCAGAGAAAACAATCCATCTTATACCCTGATATGCGGATGATCAAATTGTCACCAATGTCCGGGGATGTAATTACTGTTGTCCTGTTTGTTTGTTTGTTGTTTAATGCTCAGCTCGGGGATATTCCAGCTCTATGGCGGAATATTGTAAATAATCGAGTCTGGACCAGTCAATCCAGAGATCAACATCATGATAATCGATCTTGGAAATTGGGATACGATGACATGTGCCAACTCGATCCCGTTAGTCGTCTCTTAGGACAAGCATGGGTTCCTGAAGATCACTTCTAACCCGGATCTTCTTGGGGTTTTAAGTACTACACAGAGGACGTCCGGTGCCCAAGCTAACTGGCAACGTCTGTGTGTTGAAAATAGGAAAACTGAAGGTAAACTAATCATTTGAAAGATGCCTGGTCTCTCCTTCTGGAAACAAAGAGACTGCGCAGAGTAAGAATACTGTATCACTAAGACATTAACAGATCTTCAAACAATACTTACCTGTGTGAAACATACCTGTAGTCCTGACGTGTTCGCTACGTTCCGTTTTCCATACACAAAGAACAACCCATGACTGCAGCAGGAAATGATGGCTTATACTGTCGTTATGGCATCAGACCTGCACATAAATAACTAGAGTGTTGGAAGGTTGAAGACATCCTCTTGTTATATAGTCGTGTGGAAAGTGTCATTCTAAATCTTTAGGGATAAATATACAGAGATGACACGTCTCACCGGCCTCGTGCATTTACAGTTCATTTGGGCAAAGGGAAGTGGAAGGGAACTAGCTATTTGGTGGCCATTGAATGATTTAAAATATCGCTCTACCTCAAGCTTAGGCTTTTTATCTTAAAAAAGAAAGTAAGCATATGCCGCATTATCAGGAACTTTATAGCAAATGCATGCAGTTCAACTCTGGTTTGTGACACTTCAGTACTGCTGGGTGTGTTTTCTTCAGTCCTAAATCCATTAACAGTGCAGGAAAGAGTTTTGCAATAATGGAAGGGAGACAACACTACCGAGATTATTTCGAGGTCCCAGCGAGCGGTGTTAATGTACTCCATAGAGGAAGTAAGCGCATAAAAGAGGCCAAACAACAATTAAACATATACCTGTGGAACAAGTGAACCGCTAGAGCGAGAGACACTGACACATCGTGTACGTAGGGAGTGCTGCTCCGCCTGCACCAACTGACATCAGCCTGCTAAACATATGTTTCTCAATGTGGCTATGTCAATATAACATTCCGAATAACTTTTTTCTCACTGTATTGTTTAAAATTAGAATTTGAATAACCAGGGTATTTTTTGTTCTCTTTGAATTAGTGCTCCGAGAAGTCAATGTGAGTAACAGTTACAAAACACATGCATTTATTTATTTTAAAAAACGGTTTGCAACATGTCATACTTTTTCAGACTTCTCATAAGATTCTAGCTGTTCGGGCTTTTAAAACACTGAAATGATTGCCTTTGGTTGGAAAGTTTGTCGAGTGAAAGGAGATGTCACCGATCCAATTCATTACAAGAGTTAGCCTTATGGGCGACAACGCTCACTTACTGTTCAGGCCCCGATTTCTCGAAACAAACTTAAGTCTGAGTTTTGACATAAGTTAGAGTTTTTGCTCAAATTTGAGAGAACCCATTTCGAAGAATCGATATTAAACTCAAATATAGTAGACAATTTGAGTTTGAAGAATAGAGTACTAAATTGTTTGAGCTCTTTTATTTTAAAAATGCAGCCAAGTTAGAAATTCAGCTGCTTCAAATTGTAAAACTCAGTTTGAAATTGGAGTAATAAAGTTAAATTTGTTTCGAGAAATCGGGCCCAGATACAGCCTTCAAATTCAGTATATGTGACAGATGTAATCACTTAGTAGGGAACACAGGGAATGGGTGTAGGACAGGGAAATAATTGTAACCAGTATTGTTCATGTTGTTTCCAACATTTTCTGAAAGTTGGTTTATGGGACATTTAATTTGTTTGGCACTTCAATGAAAATGTGATACTGTGTTGCTGCCGTGTAGATGCCCTCCTTTGGGTTGTGTTGACAAATTACGTGAATTTCCTGTGAACATACCAACACCTGGTGCGGGTTTTTACGGATAGTCAATACCGGCCGATAAGAGCCCAGCCGAGAGAACATAATATTATACGGAAAAGGGCGAGTTCAACCGATTGTGACAAACCATCCTAGAGCACACAGCCAGCGGAAAGGTAGACTTTCTGTAGAGTACATGTTGTCAAACTAATTACTCCTACTGGTATTGAGTTTTGTCTATTGTTATTCATTATCTAACAGAAGTCTACGAGTGTCAATACGTTTTGAAATCAGTGATAATAGTGAGAAGTTTACGGGGAAGTTGTCTACTTTCGTTATCACTATAAACTATGGCCTCGCGATGGTGTTGTAACATGCAGCGATGGAGCTAACTGGGTAAATCTAATTATACAAGGCTATTATCATTGACTGGTTCATTGAGGTGAAAATTTAACTGTGTTCAGGTGTTATTTTGGTGAAGGTATCCATTCAATCGTTCCTACTTCTGTGTTTTGTGCGACAACTAACTGTCTGTGGCTAGGGGGCGTGTCGAACATGTGCATTGTGAGTGTTTGCCTTTGAAAGGGGTCGAGGTTATCCGTGAGTGAATAGATAACATGTAATGCTCCAAGTCGTGGCGGTGCAGATATGTGGGTTGTGTTTGCCACGCCTGATCATCATGACAGGAATGTAGGTTTTGTCCGAGCTTCCCTGTTAATATACTGTTCAATACAGACAGTCAGAGAAAACACTGTGTATACCTTAATGGGGAACGGGAAGGACAGTCACATGACATCACCACCAGCGTTAGTAATAACAGGGTGGGGTTTGACGTTGTCATGTTGACATGTCAGTCCAGGACCATGTAGCTGCATATATGGCAGAAGAACACTGTAAAAACAAGTGTTATTGAATTAACACTATTATTAACACTATCTTGGTAACAGTAAATTAACATATAAAAGTGTTAATACTGTTTAACACTAGTGTTAATTTAAAAACTTGTTAAAGTGTTTACAAGATTAACACATTAACATGTTTATTTCATAAGCTTGCTGGTAACACCTTTTTCACACATTAACATGTTTATAAGAATGCAAGTGTTAATAATTTAACACATTTGTAAAGTAACAAAGAAATGAGATCCACAAATCACTCCTTAGAGAAAGTTTGGCTGAAATGTATATTCAAGAATTAACATCCATCAATGGTTAACTCTACGTAGAATAATTCCTGTTGTCTTCAAATATTGTAACATGCAGTTCCACTCTTGCTGAAAACCCTGAAACTGGATTAATCTCCTTGATATTACTGAATGTGATAATTTCCCAATTAGAAAAGGACATGGTGACAAAAGATTTATCTTCACATTCGTTATGGTGTAATCAATATGAAAGCAAATAAGGACTAAGTACAGTTTCAGGGTTCCATATAATACAACTACTAGTAATAAATCCAAATAAATTAAAGCAGTAAACACAATTTCACTTGAATTTATTCATCAGAAAAAAATCAAATCCTCATAAAAATTGAGCAAACTGTTACATTCAATGCGCATACGCAGATATGAAGATATAAACGAAATTCCACAGAATCCTTCACAATAATGCATATTTATTTATGACACATGCAAAAAAAACCCGGTAATACTGTTAATACTTGAATCTTAAGGCACAGAATGGTGAACGTTTGACTGAATTTTAACAGAACATGAATAATGGCATGTATTTTGAGGATAACCATTCCTTCTACGGTTAGGACAGTATCAAAATGGTATGCATATATACATACATGTTACATAAATTAATGCAAAGATACTGATACATTGCAATACATATTGCAGCATTCAGACAATGAACAATATAAGGGCAACACATATAAAAGATATTGGTGTTTGTAACCTAAAGTAGCTGCACAGTGTACGCATCATCTTCAGAAATGTGCTATGGGGTTTTCATTTTTTTTGGAGAATATAGTATCAAAATTGTCACTAGTTCTATAACCCAGTCCAAATTGTCAAAAAATACAGGTAGCCCAAGAGCTAGCGAAAATGCTGATTTTGTTAAAGCCACCCTTATACATTAAAAGGTAGACAGTGCCAAATAAAGATGAGTTTTAAACTCTGATATAGCTTGAAATTAAACAAATCTAGTTCCCTAAGAATTAGAGCATACAGATTTTCAATCTTTCAATCAAATTGGAGGCCAATAACTCTTTTAAAAGCCCTTTATAAGATAATCAGCACTTGTATTACAAACCGGATAAAGAAAACTTTAGATTCACTTATTCATGGTAATGAAACTGGATTTATTCCTGGCAGAATCAATAGTGAAAACACAAATATTCCAGGTTTACTAATTTGGATTGATTTCGAAAAGGCTTTTGATACTGTCTCAAAAAAGGTTTATTGATTTAGTACTGGAAAAATTTGGTTTTGGCCCTCAACTTAGAAGCTGGATACACCTCTTAACTTTAGACACAACATCCTGTGTAATTAAATATGTCCATTTATCCGATTTTTGTTACAAATGAAAGAGGCTGCAGACAAGGAGACCCCATATCCCCTTACCTATTTCTCTTTGTAGCTGAAATTTTAAGTTGTATGGAAAGAGCAAATAATGACATAAAAGGAATTACTATAGATGATAAAGAATATAAACTTGGACAATATGATGATGACAGAATTATTTCTTGATGGCTCAGAAGATAGTCTATATGCTGCTAACAATACATTGAATACCTTTACAATATGTCGGGTCTAAATATAAATATTGATAAAACTAAAACAATTTGGATAGGATCAAAAGCGGGTAGTTAGGAAAGATTAGGTAATGATATGAACATAGAATGGCACATAGATGAATTTGAGGTATTAGGTATCAAATTTACTTCGACACTATGTGACTTATGGGTGATTAATACTAGGAAAAGACTTGAAGAAATTAACAGACCATTTGCGGTCTGGAGAAAAAGGCATTTAACATCAATAGGAAAGATTACAGTTATCAAGACATTAGAAGTTTCAAACTTAGTCCACATTTTTAACACATTACCAAATCCACCCAACACTTTCATTACTTCACTTGGAAGAATATTCTTCAAATTTATTTGGAATGGCAAAAACGATGAAATTAAAAGAGAAACTATGAAAAGATTTTAAAAAGAGGGTGGGCTACAGATGATTGATATACAAACTTTTAATGAAGCTTTAAAAATCTCCACTTTGAGATTACATTGTAGAAACTCACGGCAAATAATCCATGTGATACACCCTTCCATGATATTCAAGTTTAGGGCTAATGCTTAAAAGAATATTGTTTAATCACAGATTAAAAGATACTCATCACTTCATACAACACTGGGCTGATAAAGGAATCTTAACTAAAGATATATGTGATAAATCTGGAGTTATGCCTTTTGAAACGCTAAAACATATGTATGATATAAGAGGAACAATGTTGGATCCAAAACCCTTGGATTGATATCGATGTTCTAATAGCATGGACTAAATATTGTGAAAAAACTGAAGTTGATGCAGGTAATATTGATGATATCCTCGCACAGCCTTTATTGTTTAATCACAGATTAAAAGATACTCATCACTTCATACAACACTGGGCTGATAAAGGAATCTTAACTAAAGATATATGTGATAAATCTGGAGTTATGCCTTTTGAAACGCTAAAACATATGTATGATATAAGAGCAACAATGTTGGATTACAATTATGTTATGCACGTCTTGCATATATCCTGGAAACAAACTGTTAGAAATAACAGGATGATACCTGTTCGAAATGGGGAAAACTTTTTAATTGTGACTTTGAATGGCATAAGATTTTCAGTATTTATACATATGGTTTAAAAGCTGTTAAACTTCTTGATTTTCAGTATAAATTCTTACGGGGAGTAATATTTTTCAAAAGGGAGCTTTTGAAATGAAACTACATGTAGTAGATTCCGACATGAACAGCTTTTGTTATGACCTACAGGAAACAATCTGTCATGTATACTGGAATTGTAAGGAAACCAAGACTTTTTGGAATGAGCTTGAGATCTCGATGAAAAAATACCTCAATAAAGAAATCAAAATATCAAAATATCTGGTTTGGTTTGGTACTTTACAAGCCAACAAAATACTAAACCATATAATTTTCTCTGCAAAGAGACATATCTATTTATGTAATATCAAAAACACAATTCCCAAATTAAATAACTATCTGAAAACCTTAGAATTTATCTCTCTTGCAGAAAAAAAACATTTCTAAAAGAAACAATGATGTGGAAAATTTTGAAAAAAAATGGTTTCCTTTCATCCCATTTCTCAATCATTGACTGTTCAAACACCCTTTAGAAGTTGGTATGTGTCAACCTATCTTCCTTGTATATTACAGCCTCCATATAGCTGCAATATTGCTGGGTGCGGCAAAAATATTAACTCACTACTTGTATATTGCTATTGTTACTGTGGTGGCAGAGTAGCCTAGTGGCTAAGGCTTTGGCTCGTCACGCCGGGTTCAATCCAATGGGTACTTTCTGTGGGACTCGTTTCTCATATCCCACTCCATGATATTGCTGGAGTGTTCTTAAGTGTGGCGCTTAACCATACTCACTCACTCACTCACTTCTGTTACAATAATATGTTTGTATGGTTTAAACATATTTATTCATTTACTCATGATGGGATTGGCAAACAAGCAATAAAACATGCTTACATCAATGCCGCTCCCTAACAATGATACAATAGTAATAACAATAATGATTGTGGTGTACACATGAGCTGGGTGCAAAACATAATGTGAATCTTCAAGCAACAATATTGACGATATATTGTGTTACAATTTGCAAACTGTCGTTGAAGGCAAATAAACTAGAAGCTGTTGTGAATATGTATGTATATATGTAACTATGGGAATGAATAAAAAAAAAATGGTACTATGAACGGTCTTTGAAATATTTGGGCTTTCATAATTTGTTTAATAATCGTTCTCTATAGAATATCAGCAGTTTGCATAAATTTGAAATTGACAATATCATTGTACTGAAAACTAAGGGAAGAATCAGTCTGTTTCCTTTCACAAAGTTCTTCTTAAGGATGTTCCCTGGTATAACTGACTTTTTTACCTTTTGTTTTAACATATTATTAGAGAAACATCATGCCATTGGATAAAGAAATGGCACACATTGCAGCATTACTACCGACAAGAGTTTTTGAAGCTTCGAAGCTTGATTGGAAAACATTCTAGTAGCTCAGTGCTTATCTTTGGATCTTGCCATTCATCACTAAACTTTATCCAATTGGATGTCCTTGATCCAGTAAATGTATCAGGTACAACCTACTGCTGTAGCAGACCAAGAACCTGGCTATATGCAGGGGGTACTCCAAATAAAAAAAACATAGTAACTCCCTAAGGAGACTGGGCACTGCATCAAACAATGACTGAGTTTGAAGAAAAATCTTTACATTGTCTCCCACAATGAATTGCATATGATGTGTTTTGAGCTGTCAAGGAAAACCACAAGATGAGGAGCCTCTTACACTTGGCTGTGCAGATGTTTTAGGAATTGTTTCCACACTCTTCACATCCTTTTAACATACAATAACATTTTGTTAGGGTTGAATATTGTCAGTTTACAAGTTGATCTCATAACAGCATTAAGTAAATGAAACATCTATTCATAACCAGACTGCAAATATTTGCAAATATGAAATATCTTAACTATATCTTTATCATAAAGGTATCTGAACTTCCTGTGAACATACCAACATCTGGTGCGTGTTTCACAGTCAGTCAACAAAGGACGATAAGCACCCAGCAGAGAGAACATTTACGCAAAAAAAAGGGCGAGTTCAAACCACACCCGAACACACAGCCAGCGGAAAGGTAGACTTAAGTCATTCCTTGTGATTTTCTGTAAAGTACATATTATCAAACTCACAACTGATACCAGTTATTGTGCATTGTCAAATGATATTCATGATCTGACAGAAATATACAAGTGTTGCTACGTCTTGAAATCGGTGATACTTGAGGATTTAACGCGGAAGTGGTCTACTTTCGTTATCACATTTAACGATAACGATAACGATGGTGTTGCAACTCGTAGCACTGCAGCTTACTTGATAGTTACAATAATACAAAGGTATTGACATTGACAGATTCAATGAGTTGAATAATAATCAGTGTTGAGGTGTAATTCGGTGACGGTATCCATTCAATTGTTCCTCCCACTGTGCTTTGTGCTATTCCTTACTACTGGTGGCTAGGGGCAGTACGGTTGCTTGTACTACCCAGACTGAAGCTGGTTTTATTAATTATACTGCTAGCCCACTAAGATACCATGCCGCAGTGAAGCATGAATACCCCACTCAGACACATTATACTGACTCCGAGCCGAGCAGTCCTTGTTGTACCCATTAATGCCGAGCGCCAGGCAGGGACCAACAAGTACCATATTTTAACGTCTTTTGGTATGACGCGGTCGGGGATCGAACCAGCGACCTTCCGCACCCCGGGCGGATGCTCTGACCACTACACCACGGAGGCTGTCTCGACGTTATCCAAGAGTGAATAGACAACATGTGTATGATCCGAGTCGTGGCGGTGCAGATACGTCGGTTCTGTTTTCCACGCCTGAAGTGCATGTATCTAGCAGGAATATAGGTTTGGGCCGAATTACCCTGATTATATACTGTTCAATATAGAAAGAGAAAACACTTGCATGGTGAATAATACGGTCAATACGATGTCAGTGTTCCCAGTCTGACTGCTGAGATATTGATAGATAGATAGATAGATGATAGACATGTAGATAGATATCTCTTTATATTTACTATGTGTCTGTGTGTGTGCGCGTGTTCGTGTACAGCTTCACATACAGATGCGCGTATGTTCAGATCTATCATTGCTGCTTGTACTGAATCTAATTAATTTCTATTAAACTTAAAAGGCACAAACTGCATGTGTATCTTACAGATGGCGACCGCCGGGCTAGAGAAGAAAGTAAAGGATCATTTCCTGACTTGCTCCATCTGCTTCGAGATATACACAGACCCGTGTACACTGAGGTGTGATCACACATTCTGCAGGAAATGTGTCACCTCATACATCCAAACCAGACCTGATGCTGTACAGTCCAAGACCATCCCCTGTCCCTGCTGTCGACAAGATACCAAGGTCCCCAATCCCAGCAGGCCGGTGGAGGAGTGGGCGAGGCAGATCAAAGCCAGCATCATCATAAAGGGGCTGATTGACACCTATAGGTCCGAGGTAGCTGTGCAAGGTAAAAGGAAAATATGATATGCGTGTGCGTGTGCGTGTGCGTGTGCGTGTGCGTGTGTATTTAAAACCAGTGGTAGACTTTACATTGACATTTGTGTGTGTTAAAAATGCCCTGCCTCCTTTCGTACCCTTTTCAAATTGCGATGAAAATAGGTACATATGTACTTGTGTTTACAGGGACCTCGAGCACCTGTTGTACGATCTGTCAGCAACTAGGGGAAACAACTCAGGGGGCCTTGTGGTGTGCTGAGTGTGAAGTGGTCCTCTGTGACAAATGTGTGAAGATACACCGGGTGACCCCTACTTTATTGAACCATGACCTGTGTGACCTGTCATCTAGGTCAAAGGTCAAACGGAGGATCAAGTGTACGGAACACAAGAGTAACCGTGTTGAGTTCCACTGTCAAGACTGTGGGAAGGCTGCCTGTCAGACATGTTGTATCATCTACCACAGAGCTTGTAAGACTGTCGTCACCATTGAGTCTATGAAGCCAGGGATGAAGGCAGCACTGATGGAGAAGAGACTTGGCATGGAGAAGAGACTGAAAGTTAGGTCGAAGAAAGTAGACATACGAAACGAGAAACTCCAAAGTAATTCTAGAATCACAGAGTCAGCTGTTCAAAATATTAGGTTGATCTGCCAGACAGCCATTAACAAGATTAAACAGAAAGAAACACAACTCTTGGATGAACTGAATACCATATCACAGACATACGCCGACCAACTCCGAGCTGATGTGAATCTGGAAGAGATCGAGATGCAGATGTACAGACAACATTGTGAGTTCATTGACCATGCCTTGGTATCGGACTGTGAGATGGACCTGTATGACGCGTATCAGGCCTGGGAGTCTGCAAGCTGTAAAGATGGAGGATGTCAGGGATACAGAGGCAGCAGCCACCGGAGAATAGATCACATCGGGTTTACACCTGACACTGACAACGTCCTGAAGGTCCTCGATAACCTGCAGTTTGGGGACATCAACGTCACATACCAGGACAGTTGTCTGTCAACTCTTGTCCTTGTTGACACGAGAGATGGGAGGGTGGTGGATGATGACATGCCTGATCTATGTGATATGATAGTCCTGGTTGTAGATGGTGTACAAACATGTGTTGTTACGGACATCAATAACATGTGCGTGAAATTTTTTTTCATAAGAAATAATCTTTCAAGGCATAGTAAGCTTCCCCTGGATAACTCTCCAAATGGGATAACACAGTTGAATGAGAAGCAGGTGATGGTTGCTGTCCCAGACTCCCTTCAGATTGTAACAATAGAAGTGACCCCTGACCTGGTGCTGCTCTCTACTATCACAACACGTACGGGTTACTGCAGTCTGGCTGTTCTGAATCCTTCATCTCTAGCAGCAGGTGCTTGTGAATGTGTTGATATCCTGGACATGGCTGGACACGTGTTGAGGTCAGTCACTACATACAATGATGACTCACTGTTTACCTACCCCGACTACATGTGTGTCAACAACAAGGGCAACATACTCGTGTCTGACTGGGGGAAGAAGTCTGTGACATGTCTGACGTCAGAGGGGGATGTTTTATGGAGATACAACCCTATCGGAGACAAGGCACTCAGCTACCCTCGTGGTATCACAACAACCACGACAGGAGGCATCTTGCTTCTACAGAGGGGCAAGGTGATACAGCTGACAGAGTCGGGAGAGTTTGTAAGGGAACTGCGCACGTTAGAAGATGGCTTTGAGACAAGCATGCCCGGTATATTTTGTGATAAATACGGTTTCTTATTTCTATGCACAGTCAAGAAAGTGAAAGAGTACGTGTTTGTCTGACAAAAATCAAAAGAATGAAAGTCAGTGCAGAGCTGTGGTTTATGACATTCTGTGCATGGTGTTCGTCTGGAATTGCTTGTGTCTTCACCAAAACGTATGGGCACAGCTTTGTCAGTGAATTGCAGACATGCAATATTCCAATAGGTCGTTTCCAGCATGAAGTGAAATAGTCCACCAGGTGAAAGATCACCAGCTGTTGTGGAGATTCCTGGGATGACCTGAGCTACACAACGACTACTTGATCTCAACAGTGTGCTGAACCAGCTAAACTTTGAAGAAATCCCTAAAGGAAATATTCCTCTCCGTTATCCCTATGATAGACTAAAGCTAACATATAGTCTGGATATATTATTTGTTTTTCGAAAAACGAAGAACATTTTGTGTTGGATAGAATTGAGGAATAACGAACCCGGTGCTGGTTAGTTTTTTTGTTACTCAGAAGTGTACATGTTTCCGTGTATATGACCACACCACTGTATGTGTATTTAGAATGATCTCATCATCCGTTCAACAAAGCATGGGCCCAAACAAATTCCAAACGATATTTCTAGTATTGAGCGATGTTTCCTAAAACCATATTTATTTTCTTTCTAAAGTTTAGACTCACTAGTGTAATATACTTCCCATCAAACGTTTAGACTGTTTTAAGTGAGTTTAAACTTTTTGACAGGAAGTATACAAATTGAAGTCTTGAGGTCAAGGGTATACTTTATCCCTGTTTTCACATAATATACACAGGAGACACTATATTGAAATGTCACCCCAAGCCAAATTGTTCTCTTTTCAGATTTTATTGCTTGTTAGGAAGTAAAATGAATGTGCGCAGTTTTTATTTCTGTCCGTTAGATGACCCTGAAGATGAGAAATTCATGTGATAATATGGTTGGACAAGGAAATTTAGTGAGATTTCAGGTATTAAATTATATTATTTCGTAGAGCAATGCTAACATTTGAAATGCCTGACGTCGCGTTTCTATTTTGTGCACCAATTTTCACATTTCCTATACATCAGACCATTATATTGCACATGTATATTTCAGTTTTGGTTCTGTTTTGCTTCGTTTCTCTTTGTAGCTGCATGACGATGAATGAATGAGTGTGTAAGTCAATGCAATAAGGTGTAATGCCGCTTTCAACAGCTGTACTATAGTGCTACAGTTAGATGGGCATGATGACGAGAGACACAAAATACTGTGAGTAGATTATACTAAAGACGACAGGGAATTTGGCCCTACCATATAGAGATGCATGTATCTACCAGATGTAACAGCTGCGACGAGGTCACAAGTCTGAGATTGGAAGTATATTTCAGCTAGCGACAGTTATTCTTTGACGGTGATACTTTTGGAAAATAAAAGTTAGGAAAAAAAAAAATAGGAAACACATAAGGTGTCAGTTTGTTCAATGTTTGTTTCTTTCGGTGCTAGTGAAATGGGACATACTCTGTTTATGAAAAACGTCAAGTATATTTTTAAGGACCCATGGAATTTCATTTTCATCAGATATGTGATTACACTAATGAACGCTATGTCTGTAGCTGTGGGTTAAGTATTCGGCATTGGTTGAACGTGACAAACTGTATATCAGGTTAATGTATGGAGGCACGCGAGCCATTCAGTGCATAGAACACTAAGCGTCAATAAAGGGTTTTGCCAAAACCTATGGGCATCATTTAGTCCGTAAATTGCAAGCCTGGAAATTTCAAATAGGCCATTTGCAGCCTGAAATGACAAAGTCCATACGACCCACAGGAGAATCAGACCAGTGGATACGGTTGTTGGAGAGATACCTGGAATGACCTGAGCTGCACAATAACTACTTGACCACGACCACACCAGCCACAAAAGTATTTGCCAATCTTTCGAGTCTTCCAGTTCTTGAACCGCAATATTCCCCCTCCACCTAGCATCTTGTGTAATGCAAATGCCCAAATTAACCAAGTGTTAATTGTCCTCAGGTTTTTTTGGGGCTTCATTTCAGTTTATAATAAGTAATTTACTTCTATACAGTTCTATTGTTTCAGAGAGTAAGCGTCAGTCTATCCATTCACTATCAACACAAGATTTCCTGTGGGTATGGTTTACTCTGTGCTATACAGACATACCAAGTTCACTTATATGTCAATTAAATAAACGAAATGATGACAGAAGGACAGCATGATCTGAACAAATTCAATATTTTGTATCACCTGCAGTAAACCAGCCCAGGCATGTCTTGACAAAATACCCCAGTAGGCATTCTAACATCTCTGCTCATGAAACGCTGACAGCATGGACATATGTATGACATTGGATCCAGCAGCACGTAAGAGGGGAGTAAGTTGTTGTATACAGAGCATGGACGTTTCTTCAGTATGATATCCTGTTTATTTGTTCTCTGGTGAGATTTTAAGTGAGTCCTCTGATTCAATCAAGAATGACTTGACCTGCAACTATATATAGGAAATGTACTGTGAGGCAGAGAGAGAAAGAGTCGTATTGCATCACACCTTTACCTTTTCTTGAATATTACATCACAGTAATCATGCTCATACTTTGCTGAAATATTTTCATCCAACCGAAACACAGTCCATCAAGAATTAGATGTGAAACCGACGAAATAAACCAAAGAAATGTGATTCACTGTGGTATGAATCGAAAAACCGATGTGCAGACCCTATGCATACGAATAGAGCAGCGAATTCATACAGTTTGCACATCTTTTTTCGATTCATACCTCAGTGAACCGAGAAAAAAGGAACTCCGTCAATCCCTCTTATTCAATTGTTCCCCAAAAGATATCTACAACACTTTCATTAAAAAGCCCTATACATTAAAACTGGCAGAAAATACGAGAATGAATTCATACTGTGGCGTAACGTGTGTAAGGTTATTGTTGTTAATTTATGCACATAACGTGACAAGCACACAAGTCAGCAGAGAGTAGCATAAGTCGACAGGACCCATCAATCACAGTAAGAGGCTAGATGAACTACTACAGACGTCAGACTGGAACGAACGAACAAACATGTCAGGAAGAAGGTTTCTATTTCTGTGTTACATGAGATGGTCAGTAACTGCCAAATTCAAGCATTGGTTTCCTGAGAACGAGCGGACACATTTTAAAAAATGCTACTCGAGAATAGAACCCGAACACATGTCCTTTGTGTAACTCCAAATAAACATCAAGACAGCGAGCATTCAGTCCCTGTAGGGATGTTAATGCATTCCTTTCAGGCTTCTGTATCGAAAGAGGGGTGAGTGATCCTGCATATAAATGAACATCGCTTAAATGTCCTGTTGACGAATCACACAAGTAAACAGAAAGGGTTGGTTGGTTGTTTAAAGCTGCACCCAACCGCCTCTTACGACAAGCATGGGTTGCTGAAATCAATTTTAACCCGGATCTTCACGGGTCAAACAAAAAGGGACTTGCCTCGATTGTAGACGATATTCTCCAACAATCTATAGCAGTAAAAGTAGTCCGCTTTGGTCTGCTTTTCACATTCATTGGGAAATCAATGTAATAACACGTGACTAGTTAAGCCATAAGGAATGTAGTTACTGCAATGTTCACAACGAAATTATTCTCAAATTAACTAAGATCACAAATCAATATAAGGGTAGCGCAGTAGTAGTACAGATTCAAACTCAGTAATAATAGAAGGGCAGTGATTACAGCAATGTGGTAATATTCAGTTTTATCAACAATATTCCTGCTTGGTTGACATTTTAGAAGATGCTATTTGATGAATCTATGTTCAACAATATTCCTGCTTGCAAGAAATACAGAGTTTCCAGGGTACAATGACCATCACACACAATGCTTGCCTTCGTACAGCTATGAAATGTCATATGAAAATAGAGGCAAGAGATACCTCCCCCCATATACCGAAGACGAAGACACCAGTGGATTCTCCAATAACCTATGGGGTTTAACATATGCTATATTTGGGATTACACTTTCTTAGTACAGTACAGATTCTAGTACTTTGTTGGGTTGAGTCCCATCCGGGATTCAAACCCACACCCTCAGAGTCAGGCACCTAATCGCCAGCACACAAAGTCAGCCGCCTAACCCGCTCATCCACCGCGACTGAGGGTGTGCGTTCGAATCCCGGATGGGACTCAACCCAACAAAAGTACTAGAATATGTACTCTACTAAGAAAGTACGGGCGAGTGAGGGCGAGTGCAGCCGAGTGAACGGTTACCAAAGAAGGCGACTAAAAAAAATTGCTGCAAATCACATCAGGACACACCTGCCGGAAAGGTAGATTTTCAGATAAATTTGATGTTTCTTTAAACGTATATACTGTCCAACTGAAACTTTATAAAGCATTATTCGTGATGTTAGAAGTACCTGAGCATCCTGATAGCGAAAAACGACAAATCTTACATGGAAGTTACCAGCTTCAGCGATAAAGTTATACCCTCCTGGTTGTGTTACGTCACATAGCCCTGACACTGACAAATAAACAAAATGGACAAAATAAAACTGGTTCTCAGATTTGAATAATATGAGCAAAAGTCAGTTCCCAGTCGAATTTCGGCGAAGATATCTACTGAACCGTTCCTCCTTAACCATGTGTCAATCTGTACCTAACAATTTGTTGCCATGGAACGAGCAGATAATGTATACTACCCGATTTCACTGGGCTGGCGTTACGTGTCGTAGAACAGACAGCTAGTATAAACCCCGACTCTCTACGTGTTTGTCTTGATTTGATCTAGATATTCTCCACACGTTGTCTGTTTTCATACAACAGACACAACAACGAACTCTCCTGATAATTAGCCATCAACGTTTCAACACAACACTACGCCCGCTATCAGTATTACGATATACATGATTTCTGGTAAGAATCTGGGCCCCTGGCACTCTCCTACCCAGAGTTCCTTGCGGCAAGCCAGCATAGTACCTCTGCCACAGGCCACAAAAATGTGACGATTCGTCCATCTTGCACCGTCCATTCAATATAATGTACATATTTCGTAACTCTTATATTTTTGACGAGTCTACACATCTAAGTAATCATCTTTAATAGAATAGTTTAGTTTCACTGAGAAAATATCAAAAACATGTAACACTATTTCGATTTGCGTAGCGATCCTTTGTTTACATAGGTTGTACGGCTCCATGTGCTGTCATCGAAGCTGATGGAGAGCAAACGATGCAGCCAGTTTGGTATCTATAATATGTACTGTCATAGACCTTACTGTCGCAGTTGTGGAAGACTATATATGTAACAATGTAAAACATTATGAAGAGAACTCCGAAAAGCTTTCGTGAGTCCAGTCTCTTCTTATTATGAATATACGCGTTTGATTACAAACAAGAGAAAAGTCGGTCAAGTGATATGCAAATTAGCCTGTGGCAGTGATGTTATGTTAGTCATCGCTGTGCTCGAGTGTGGGCCCCTGGTAAACCCAAGAGGTGACTATGTGGACTGGGCAGTTGCGGCCTGTCTCTGTGATTTGGTTACTGCGTGTCATCATGTGTAAGTGTACGTCGATCAACGTTGATGATGTCAGTCACTGGAATGTCAGGTCCAGACATGAATAATTATTACCCACGTGGTCAACGTATGGGTAGTTGCATACTGATCTCGTACGTCACACAAGTGTCGTATCGCGTTGGCCTGTGTCGTAACGACTTGACCTGAGATTCTAACGATTTGATTGGATAGCCGATGACCTCTCAGTTAGGTCACAGTGTGACAGAACTACTTGTTCATTCATAACAAACACGTGAATTCATTCATTCTACAACTTAAATGCATTGTGGGAATGTAAACATTGCGAAAGTTGCCGTGTTGCTGTTTAATTGTGAGTCGAACTGAGACATTATATCATATATGTTTCCACAAGTGATGTTAGCCGAGTGAAGCAATTGCAAAGGGGTGCTACGGAGTAGTTTACTGTAGGAGGCTGTAGGAAGCGACAACTGACATGTATCGTGACGTCGGTTACCAAGGGGACAGACGAGAATGGCGTAGCGACATCAATACAGTCTGACGTCATGCAAAAGAGATTACAGAACAAAATTCTTCCGCAGCCTCT